CAAATTACATTATTCAATACAATTCGATTCTCTTTGTTTGTCTTATTTTCTCTCTTAAATTAAACTAGGAAAATAACCAAAAGACAGGAAACTGACTAAAAATTAGCTATCTAGCTGTACTAGCTAATTCCTAATTTACACCATTGACTTATTCTCTGTAATTACAAATATTTCTTTCCTTCTCTACACATCTAAAGGGGACACATACTTATATAAATTCAGCTCAACATGTCCCTTTTGTATCGGATTTATGTCACTCGCACAATTTGCATACATGATGCGACTGGATTTGATCTCAGGAGCAACTCATCTAAAAGTTTTAGCAGTTGGAGAGGAGGTGATTTATTTAAACTTAGACTTCAATATCCTACAGCAATTTTTAAGCATTTAGAAACCTCGCTAGTATTACAAAAAAATGCCCCAGTACATCCTAAAGTACAAACTAGAATCATTTCCAGAAGGAAGGGAAATAATACAATGAAAGACAAAAAAAAAAAAGTTACCTTGAGAAATTTTCCAAGATAGGGAATGACTACAGAAAACGCAGTCAAAGAAAGACCCAGAACTTCTGATCTCTACACAATATCAAGAAAATCCAAGAATCAAGTATTTTAATTAAGTACTACTTGGCTAAAAATAAGTAACAAATCAAAACACACTATTAATTTAAGTTATTTAACAACTAAATTGAGCACAATTTTTGAAAGGAACTCACTTACAAGCTGAGCTGAAGTAATGGAAGACAAATCCGAGCCCACAAAATGATTTAACATCAAAAGCGTCCCAAATGTATAGGCAATGTATCTGGGTAAATATGATTCATCCAAACCAGGTATCCCTTCAAAAACAACCAAGAAAATCTCACATTTTTACAAATATATACAATACAGATACAAAATTATATCCTAAATGTCAGTTCTCTAAGTTAAGGCTCTATTTGGTGGGACATCCTGATTATTACAAACTGTGCTTTGTACTTATTAGCCACGTACACATACACAAGCACACATACCGAGTGTGAAGCGAAGAACAGAGAGATTGATCTGCTGTTGAGTTGGGGTGTTCTGGGGAAGACGAGTGCAAGAAATTCTTGTGAGTAGTGGTTTTGTAGCGATGTTAAAGTGGGATTTTGAGGGAAGATTAGATTTGGGTGGCGCGAACTCTAACCGAAATAACGAGATTTGCGAGAGATTGGCATTGACAGTGATGCTGCTACTCATTTTGTCTCGCTGTTCGGGATTTTTCTATGGGCAATTTGAGAAAGAATTTGGGGAAAGAAGGTTGATGATTGGGTTTGCTCACCTGTGACGCATGTACGGATTACAACCTACACTTGTTAAGGTCACTTCCAATAGAATATTGCCACGCATCCTACAGTTTCGTGTCGCCGCCGTAGATCTTGTACCTCTTACGAAGTATCCAATAAATCACTCGACACGTGTTCTTAAAAACCGGCTGCATCCAGTCAGCCTATATCCTCCACCGGCTGCATTCGGTCACATCCCCTCCAATTCCCACTAGGCATATAAAATCGAATCAGCGTACGAGTATTTCTTTTTTTCCTGCAAATTCTCAATTTCAATTTACTCTATTTGTCTCTTTATCTCCCGGTTTGCAATTTTTCCTCGTTTACTCTTCAGTAAATTATCTATAGTGGAAAAAGGTTTTAAGCATTTCCCATTTTTAGTAAGTATAGAGCTTTAGTTTCCTGTGTTTTTACAATTTTTTTTTTCAGTTCGTTGCAAATTTTCGATCTTTATTTCAAATTAATGTTAGGTGTAAAGTGGTGCCAATCAAAAGCTTAACCTGAGTTTTTTAGCTGTTAGGCACTGATTAATTTGTAAATTAAGTTAATTTAAGTGATACTGGGTTTGATCTCACTTTTTATCGGGTGGGTGTGATTGAGCTGAGATTTTATTTGCTTCTTGGATCGGTAATAATTTAATTATTAGTTGATTTAATCAGGTGTTGTCTTTATTTTGACTCATAGTTGGCAAAGAACAGTGCTTTACTTAGGACGAATTTATGCTCTGGACTCGATGGTTCAAAATTAGGGTTTTGTGAACATCGTCAAGGATTGTGGATTTTGATGTAACTATTGCAATGAGTGTATTTTTGAAACATCCTTATAATGTAAAACTGAAATTTGCTTGTTCAGATTTCGTTTTATATTTTTTATTGTAAATGTCGTACTTTTTCTTTGCCAAGTTTTTGCTCTACTCTCATTTCTGTCTGCTTGTTATTTAGCAGAATCTAACATAATTTTTCTTATAGATTGCGTGGTATTGAGGCTAAAAAGTATTGGGTTATGCCATAAAGTGACGAGGAATGAATTGAAGAAGTTTTATTGTGTTAATTTCGATTTAGGATATTTTAATTTGAAGAAGGATAGTTTGAAGTTAAGTGTTCCTTAAGTTCAGCTGGCGTTAAGTCCCCTTTTATGTGCATTAAGTTGTAAAACAGTTGGCACTGGATAGCCCCAGGCAGCAGTATCTCCTATGGTGCCCTCTCGTGTGGCTGGAGGAATGAATGATTCTTCTTTGAGATCCGGAACGTTTTCCCAAGGAGATGGGAGGTCACTGGTTGCAGGAAATTCTCAGTTGAATTTAAATTTCAATAACTCGTTGAATTCAATACCCGGAAATGCACGCCCCAACATGGGTCCAGTTTCTGGGGTTGTTGGCAACACAGTCTTAAATGGTGTGGCAAGCTCTGGACCAAGTGTTGGGGCAAGTTCTTCGGTCACTGATGCCAACTCAGGACTTTCAGGGGGTCCCCTTCTGCAGAGAAGTACCAGCATCAATATGGAATCTTATATGCGCCTACCTGCATCTCCCATGTCATTCTCATCTACTAACATTAGCATTTCTAGCTCTTCTGTTGTGGATGGAACCTCTATTGGGCCGCCAGGTTCTAATCAAAACCCAAACTCTCAACAAGCACAGCAAAGTCAGCAGCATCAGGGAGCTTCAATTGCGACATCTTTGCCTACATCAGGGATGGGGCAAGTTCAGCTTCCTGGTGTTCCAAGGGTCCTTAGTTCCTTAATTCAGGATCCCACTATTATGTCTCAGCTACAAAAGAAACCTCGCTTGGACATCAAGCAGGAAGATATTGTACAACAACAGGTTCTGCAGCAACTTCTGCAGAGACAAGATTCGATGCACTTACAAAACTCAAACCCGCAGTTGCAAGCTTTGATTCAGCAGCAGAGACTTCGGCAACAGCAACAGCAACAGCTCCTACAGTCCATGCCACCAATGCAGAGGGTTCAGTTGTTGCAACAGCAGCAGCAGCAGCAGCTGCAGCTGCAGCTAAGACAGCAGCTTCAACAACAGGGAATGCAGCCCGCATCTTCCGTGAAGCGCCCTTATGATGGTGGTGTATGCTCACGTAGGCTAATGCAATACCTGTATCATCAGAGACAGAGGCCTCCTGTGAGTATGTTACTAGTTTTCATGATCTAGTAACAATGTTTTGTCCAAATCTTATATGTTTTTTCCTCATTTGTTATCATCTGAAAGATACTTATAAAAAGCATGTTTACACTTTTATTTTTTCCTTTATGATCCAATATAAGGTTGGAATTTTTGATACCACATGATAGTTATTTATGTACCCACACCTTGTAGGATAACACTATTGCCTATTGGAAAAAATTTGTTGCTGAGTACTACTCTCCTCGTGCAAAGAAGAGGTGGTGTCTATCCTTGTACGATAACGTTGGGAATCATTCGCTCGGGGTATTTCCACAAGCAGCAATGGTAATTGACTAAGGCCCTGTTTGATACGCGAAATTTTGCAGGGAATTAGGAAAATATTTTCCACTTTCCACTTTTTTTGCTGTTTGATAAGCAAAAATTTCCATGGAAAATATTTTCCGTCTTTCTTCCACACGTGTGCATTTTCCGGCTTTTTGAGATCGGAAAAAATTTTCCAAGCTGGTTGCAAAATTTTTTTATTTTT